CGCCGTCGTGCAGGTGCGCGTCGTTACTGCTGGTCGTTGCAGGTGGTGCCCGTCGTTGCTGGGGGTCGTGTTGCCGGTCGGAATTGGTGCTGGTCGCAGTCGTGGTGGTGCTGCTGCTGGTCGTGGTCGTGTTGTTGGTGCTGCTGCTGGTTGCGGTCGTGGTAGTGCTGCTGCTGGTCGCAGTCGTGGTGCTGCTGGTCGTAGTCGTGGTGGCGTTGGTGGTCGCAGTCGTGGTGGTGCTGGTCTTGGTGGTGGTGCTGCTGCTGCTGGTCGCAGTCGTGGTGGTGCTGCTGCTGGTCGCAGTCGTGGTGTTGCTGGTCGCGGTTTTGGTGCTGCTGGTCGCAGTCGTGGTGGTGCTGCGGGTTGCAGTCGTGGTGGTGGTGCTGGTAGTGGTTCTGCGGCTGGTCGCAGTCGTGGCGCTGCAGGTCGCAGTCGTGGGGCTGCTGGTCGCAGTCGTGTTGGTGCTGCTGGTCGCGGTTGTGCTGGTGTTGCTTGTCGTGGTGGTGCTAGTAGTAGTAGTGGTGGTGCTGGTTGTGCTGGTGGTGCTGGTGCTGCTGTTGGCCGTGGTGGTGGAGCTGCTGGTGGCAGTCGTGGTCGTGCTGCTGCTGGTCGTGGTCGTGGTGTTGCTGGTGGCAGTCGTAGTGCTGCTGGTAGTAGTCGTGGTGGTGCTGCTGGTCGCGGTCGAGGTGGTGCTGCTGCTGGTCGTGGTGGTGCTGCTGCTGGTCGCGGTCGTGGTGGTGCTGGTTGTAGTCGTGGTGGTGTTGCTGGTCGCAGTCGTGGTATTGCTGGTTGTGCTGGTGGTGCTCGTCGTGGTGGTGCTGCTGGTCGCTGTCTCGGTGCTGCTGCTCCCGGTTGCGGTCGTGGCGCTGCTGGTCGCAGTCGTGGTATTGCTGGTCGTGGTCGTGGTGGTGCTGCGGGTCGCGGTCGTAGTGGTGGTACTGCTGGTCGTTGTCGTGGTGGTGCTGCTGCTGGTCGCAGTCGTGGTGCTGCTGGTCGCAGTCGTGGCGCTGTTGGTCACAGTCGTGGGGCTGCTGGTCGCCGTCGTGCTGGTGCTGGTGGTGCTAGTGGTCGTGTTGGTGCTGCTGGTCGTTGTGGTGCTGCTGCTGCTGCTGGTCGCAGTCGTGGTGGTGCTGGTCGTAGTGGTGGTGGCGCTGCTGGTCGCAGTCGTGGTAGTGGTAGTGCTGGTTGTGCTGGTGGTGCTGGTCGTGGCGGTGCTGCTGGTCGCAGTCTCGGTGCTGCTGCTCCCGGTTGCAGTCGTGGTGCTGCTGGTCGCTGTCGTGGTGCTGCTGGTCGTGGTCGTGGTCGTGGTGGTGCTGCGGGTCGCTGTCGTGGTGGTGGTGCTGCTTGTCGCAGTCGTGGTGGTGGTGCTGCTTGTCGCAGTCGTGGTGCTGCTGGTCGCAGTCGTGGCGCTGTTGGTCGCGGTCGTGGGGCTGCTGGTCGCCGTCGTGGTGGTGCTGGTGGTGCTGCTGGTCGTGGTGGTGGTGCTGCTGGTCGTTGTTGCGCTGCTGCTGGTTGCAGTCGTAGTGGTGCTGGTCGTAGTCGTGGTGGTGCTGCTGGTCGCAGTCGTGGTGGTGCTGCTTGTGCTAGTGGTGCTGGTGGTGCTGCTGGTCGTGGTGGTGGTGGTGCTGCTGGTCGTAGTCGTGGTGATGCTGCTGGTCGCAGGCGTCGTGCTGCTGGTCGCAGCCGTGGTGCTCCTGGTCGTGGTCGTGGTGGTGCTGCGGGTCGCTGTCGTGGTGGTGGTGCTGCTGGTCGCAGTTGTGGCGGTGCTGGTCGCGGTCGTGGGGCTGCTGGTCGCCGTCGTGGTGGTGCTGGTGGTGCTACTGGTCGTGGTGGTGCTGCTGCTGGTTGCAGTCGTGGCGGTGCTGGTCGTAGTCGTGGTGGTGCTGCTGGTCGCAGTCGTGGTGGTGCTGCTTGTGCTAGTGGTGGTGGTGGTGCTGCTGGTCGTGGTGGTCGTGGTGCTGCTGGTCGTGGTCGTGGTCGTGGTGGTGCTGCGGGTCGCTGTCGTGGTGGTGGTGCTGCTGGTCGCAGTCGTGGTGGTGCTGCTTCTGGTCGCAGTCGTGGTGCTGCTGGTCGAAGTCGTGGTGCTGCTGGTCGCAGTCGTGGGGCTGCTGGTCGCCGTCGTAGTGGTGCTGGTGGTGCTGCTGGTCGTGGTGGTGGTGCTGCTGGTCGTTGTGGTGCTGCTGCTGGTTGCAGTCGTGGCGGTGCTGGTCGTAGTCGTGCTTGTGCTGCTGGTCGCAGTCGTGGTGGTGCTGCTTGTGCTGGTGGTGCTGGTGGTGCTGCTGGTCGTGGTGGTGGTGGTGCTGCTGCTACTGGTCGTAGTCGTGGTGGTGCTGCTGCTTGTCGCAGTCGTCGTGCTGCTGGTAGCAGTCGTGGTGTTCCTGGTCGTGGTCGTGGTGGTGCTGCGGGTCGCTGTCGTGGTGGTGGTGCTGGTCGCAGTCGTGGTGGTGCTGCTTGTGCTGGTGGTGCTGGTGGTGCTGCTGGTCGTTGTCGTGGCGGTGCTGGTCGTAGTATGTCGTAGTGGTGGTGGTGCTGCTGGTCGCAGTCGTGGTAGTGCTGGCTGTGCTGGTGGTGCGGGTCGTGGTGGTGCTGCTGGTCGCTGTCTCGGTGCTGCTGCTCCCGGTTGCAGTCGTGGTGTTGCTGGTCGCTGTCGTGGTGCTGCTGGTCGTGGTCGTGGTGTGTGGGTCGTGGCGTGTGCCTGCAGGGTCCCCGCTGTCGTAGTCTGGTGCTGATGTCGCAGTCGGGCTTCCGCTGCTGTGTCGCGTGCTAGTTCGTGGTGCTGCTGGTCGCAGTCGTGGCGCTGCTGGTCGCAGTCGTGGGGCTGTTTGTCGCCGTCGTGGTGGTGCTGGTGGTTCTACTGGTCGTGGTGGTGGTGCTGCTGGTCGTTGTGGTGCTGCTGCTGGTTGCAGTCGTGGCGGTGCTGGTCGTAGTCGTGGTGGTGCTTCTGGTCGCAGTCGTGGTGGTGCTGCTTGTGCTGGTGGTGCTGGTGGTGCTGCTGGTCGTGGTGGTGGTGGTGCTGCTGGTCGTAGTCGTGGTGGTGCTGCTGCTGGTCGCAGTCGTGGTGCTGCTGGTCGCAGTCGTGGTGCTCCTGGTCGTGGTCGTGGTGGTGCAGCGGGTCGCTCTCGTGGTGGTGGTGTTGGTGGTGGTTCTGCTGCGGGTCGCAGTCGAAGCGATGGTCGCCGTTGTGGTGGTGGTGGAACTGCAGGTCTCCTCGTGGTGCCCGCTGCCGTGTCGGGGGTGCTCCCGGCGCTCGTCGGAGCCCCCCGGGGCGGCCGTGCTGGCCGCGGTGCCATGCATCAGGGGCGTGCTGGCAGGCGGCTAGCGGGTGGGCCGGCGGAGTCTGCGAGCAGCACTTCGGCCAGGTCTGGGTCAGTCCTCCTATCTTTTTCTTTTCTTTCTTTTTTTTTTTTTTCTTTTTTTTTTTTTTTTTTTTTTTTTTTTTCCCCGGCGGCTCCCCCCCAAGGCGATTATTTTTTTTATTCTTTTCCGTGTTTATTTCTTTCTTTTCTATTCCTATTTTTTCTTTTTAGATAGTTAGGTCTTTATCGCTTATTGTTTGTTATTTTTTTTACTTCTCTCTGCTTTTCTTGTCACTTTTGTTCTTACCTTTTCTGACTTTATAGGTGTTCTTTATTTTTTTTGGTTGTTTTTGTTCATTTTGGTCTTTTCTTTTTTAGTATTCCCTTTTTCTTTTAGGATTCTCCTTTTTTTTATTTTTCTCAGTATTATTTTTGTTTTTTCTAGTGATTTTTAGCTTCTTTTAGGTCTAGCCGTCGCCGTTCCTGGGGATGAGCGAGTCCTGGGCCGCGACGCTCAGGAACCCCCACCAGCGATTGGTGTACGCGAGCTCCGCGGAGCGGCGGAGGAGGGCCGGCGCGGCCCGCGCCTTCTGCTTGGCAAGCAGGCGTGCCAGCTGGAGGGAATCGCGGCCCCACCTGCCTCCGACCTCGCAGGAGAGGACCATGAGGCGGCCTGAATGGCCGGTCGTGAGTTCGTGTTACCTGCGTCGTTTGCGCCTTTCGGCCCCAAGTAGCGCGGCGCCGTCGGTGTCGAAGGTGCGCGGCCGGTGCCAGCCGTCCCTGCGGAGGGGGGACACCATGGTGCTGTCGCAGCACAGCGGGACGCCGTTCGGCGAGATGCCGTAGACGACGAGGTCTAATTGTCTGCGGTCCAGCGGGTTGTGGACAACGGCGTTAGTGTCCCGCAGCAGCTGTTGGGGGACAACTCTCCCTCCTGCTTCTCTGGCGACCCTCGCCCAAGCTCGTTCGAGCGGTTTCGCGCGTCTGGCGAGAAGCCCCGTGCGTGGGCACGCGGCTAGGTGGTCTCCCAGCGTGTCCAGCCTGGCCCGGCAGCCTGGGTGGCCGGCTGCCCCGCAGGTGTGCGGGAGGAGCGGCAGCGGGAGCCTGAGGCGCCGGCGCAGGGCTGCCAGGAACCGCGCGGGCTTGAACACGTGCCCCTCGGTGGTGGGTAAGGTGTGAAGCCAGTAGGCGGCCCTCGGTCCTGAGCCTGACCTTAGCATGGCCTGGTTGGCCCTGGTGAGGCTGGGCATGAACACGTTGTCCCTGTAGTGTGTGTTGCGTGCGGAACAAGCGTGGAACTGCCAGCCGTGCTGCCATTCCCCCGGTTCGGCGGCTTCCGAGCGCGGCGGCGCTTTTGGGCGCAGCCCCTGGAGCAGGTCGGTCCAGGAAGGTCTCCGGAAGCCTTCGGTTTCTAGCAGCTGTGCGGCCGCGGCGGCTGCGGCAAGGTTGCCCCTACGGCCGGGCCTGGTGCCGTCGAGGAGGTCTCTGATCGCTGCAGCTTCAACGGGGCGCCGTTGGTGGAGCATGTGTAGGGCGTCTGCCCAAGCGCCCCAGTAGGCCGCTGGGGACGTGCGCGCGGCGCTTTGGAGCCCGAGTCCTCCGTGTCCTGAGGAGGCGCAGCAGCGCCGATCGTGGCAGACTGCGTGGGCAAGGTAGCAGTGAGCGCGCCAGGCGCGGTCGGGAGACTGCGAGCCGGCGTCGCACCTGGAGTGGGCTCGCCCTCGGACGCCGCAAGCGCGTCAATCCGAGCCCTCAACTCGCTCACGCGAGCATGGTGCTGCGCTACCTGTTGCTGGACTTGTTCGCGGGTAGGCGGCGGGCCCGTGCTAACCAAGCCGGGCTGCGATGACGCCTTCAGAACTGGCGACGGTGCTGCGGGCGATGCCGACATCGCCGTGGCCACCGCTGCGGGCTGCGCAACTGGGGTTGGCCCCGCCGCTGGGACTGGCGCTGGTGGTGGCGGCGGCGGCGGTGGGGGCGGTGGCGGCTGGCTCGCGGCAGGGTGCTCCCACTGGCTGTGGCTCATAGCCCTGTTGATGAAGTACAACGCACCAGCAAGATCCCTGGGGGCAGGCTCGGCGGGCTCAGGACCGGCGGGCTCGGCGAGCTGGGCGCCGGGGACAAGCGCGCTCTCTCGGACGGGGCGGATGCGGGGCGCGGCACTGGGGACGTTGGCGGTGAGGAGGCAAGCGACTTGGGGGCAGGAGCCGTTCCCAGAGCCTTGGTGGCGACGCCAGGGTACACAGGCCCATCCCAAACGCCCGGGGGAGCCTGCAACGGGCTGAGCGTCAGCTGGGTTGCGTGGTCCACGGCCCTCGGCGATAACGCTGGCGGCGCGGGGCTGACACTGCTGCGTGAGGAACTGCGGCGCCGGCGCCGCGAGGGGCTGCGGCGACGGCGCCTAGAAGGGGAGCGGCTGCGGCTGTCATCACGCCGGCGGCGGGGGCGCCCCATCCGGCAGCGACAGGTGGCCGAGGCGAGATGCCCACCCAGAGAAAAAAAAACAGCGCTCAAGCAAATCCCTGGGCCAAACAGCGCCTGGGATAGAGAGACAGTGTGCAACGTTCCTTCCTGCGCACGCCCGCGGCGCGATAGCACGGCTAGAAGCACGACGCTCTCCCCCGAGCACGCCGAGCAAGGGCGGCCGGACAGCAGGCCAGCAGAGGCAGGCAGCTCATGTACGCCACTCAAGCGAGCGCATCACTACTGCGAAGCGCAATCACATAGCATGTTCCCAACACTCGGACCGCAATCGTGAAAAGAAGACCTGACAGAATAGCAGATACGGCATTCAAGGGAGATGAAAGTATCACGACTGAGAAGCAAAGCGCGACAGTTGACAAACTGGACACATGTCGTCGGTGCCGGCGCGAGAGGCACAGCGACTCCGCGCTGCTCGAACCCCCCGGGCCCGGGGGGGGGCACCAACGACGAAAACACCCACCTGTTTCCACCCCGGCGGGGGCCCCCAGAGCCAAAACAGGTGGGAGTTTTCGGAGCCAGGCCAGGGCGAGGGGGCCCGCCGACCAGGAGCCCCCAGCAGGGACAGCCACGATCAGAGTTCGACAGGAAGAGGAGGGAGGGAGGAGGAGGAGGAGGAGGAGGAGGACGACGACGACGACAACAACGACGACGAGGAGGCGGCGAGGGCACCAAAGCAGAAACTATGTTTTCCCAACGCCGGCTCGCTTCGCCGCCGGCGGGGCCGCAGGCGCCGGCGCTGCTCTCTTCACCCCTCCGCCCCCGTACGCTTCAGCAACAACCTTATCAAAAACGCACAGGGCACTCTCTGCCATAATCACCTGCTTCGCCGGATTGTCTAGGGAACTCACAAGGAACGGCACCGCCCCATGCTTGCAAAACGCATTACCCGCGAAAGCCTTTCGCATCTGATCTGCAGCCTGGAACGTAAACTTAATAGAATAGACTGATGTACAAAATCGTGCGTGTCTACTTTGCTGTTCTGAAAATCACGACGGAACCCATGGAACCCGTTACGGATGCCGTGGGGGCCCCGGCCGCTCGGCACCACGAATCTAGCGACCTCTTTGCCAGCGCCATAAAATTTCGAATCATCAACAAATGCCATGAACAACAGCTGGTTCTTAAGACTGCAATCGCTTCCCCCCGATATGCGTAGAGGCTTGGGGTCGGCAAACGACAGCGCCTCCCTCTCCCCAAGAACGGCCGCCATCCTTTTCAGCTGTCCCACCGTCGGGGCGAACCCTGTGTTGGAAAGCTCTCGAAGGGCCAGCAAACGGGTGGGCGCCGTCGGCTGGCCCGCTCCCCCAGCCCCGTTCGCGCCAAAGTCACCGTCGGAATCGCTTTCCTCGCCCGAAGCACGAGCGAACTTCCAATTCCTTGGAACACCCCCCCTGGAAAAAAAGTTCAGCTGTGTTTTGGCAGCGCCTGTTGGGCTGAAAAGCCTTAGTAAGTAGCCGAGGGAACCGCGTCATCTGGCAACGCTTCCCTCGAGAGGCGCGGGATCTCTAGCAGAAGCGAGGGAAGGAGATCCTGGCCCCAACAAACGGCAGCCTGCATGTATATGATGTCTCCCAACTCTTGCGGCGACGTCTGAGATTCCGCTGGGCAGCGATTCAAGACTTCTTTCACTGCGCCCCACTGGTCCTGCAAAGCTCGAATCGTGGGAGACCTGGCGAGCACGATCTCCTCAAGCCTTAACGATGACACCAAAGTTCCCGAAGCACAACCATTAATCGAACAACCCAAATCATTTTCACGCGTCTTGTAATCTCCCTCCGGGCAAGAACGTAAGCGACATAAGGCTTGAAACAGAGGCCAGAAAGCATTCCAATCTCTCTGCGACATCACACACTGGCGAGCGGACGCCATGGCTGGCCCGCCCACGAGAGGGGGCCCCCCTCAGCCCTGCCCCCGCTCTCTGGAGCCACGGCGGACAGGTTGGTTTCAGCAGGGGCAGGGGCAAGGAAAGGAAGAGGAGGAAGAGGAGGAGGAGCAGGAGGAGCAGGAGGAGACACAAGAAAGGCAACACTCCCGTGAACATGAGCGTTCGTGGCCCCATCGAGCCTTTGATGCACACGCACACACACGCGCGCACACCTACCATGCTGAATGCTACCTCCACTGCCGACTTATCGCCAATCTCCATGCTGCTCGTCAAAGGGGGGGCAGGGGGAGGAAAAGAAGGAGAGGGCGAGGAGGGGGGGCAGGAGCAGAGGAGCAGGAAAGAGGGCTAAGGCGTAGGGCGCTGGACAGCCAACCCCCGGGCATTCAAGAGAGCGCCGACGGGAGGCTCCCCCGCAGTCTGAGGCACATGAAAACACACACACACACACACACACACACACACACACACACACACACACACACACACACGCACACGCACACGCACACGCACACGCACACGCACACGCACACGCCACACGCAACGCACCAAGCAACACGCACACGCACACGCACACGCACACGCAACACGCACACGCACACGCACACGCACACGCACACGCACACGCAACGCACACGCAACGCACACGCACCGCACACGCACACGGCCACGCCACGCACACGGACCACGCACACCACACGCACACACACACACACACACACACACACGCACACACACACACACTGCCGCCATCTAGACGTACGGAAAAAGCTTCACGCTGCAACACGATTCATCCACCTCAGGCGTGTTTGTTACAGCCGACGGGACAGGCATCAGCATCAGCAGCAGCCGCAGCAGCAGCAACCGCAGCCAGAACAGCAGCAACAGCAGCAACAGCAACCCGGACAGCTGCAGCAGCAGCCAGCTTCCAGCAGCAGAAAAACTCAGGGCCGTCCCAGGAACCAAACTTGGCATTTGCTGTTTTTTTTTTTATTTGTTTTATTTTTTTTTTTTTTTTTTTGTCTTTTGGTTTTTTTTTATTTTTTTTTTTAGTTTTCTTTGGTTTTATTTATTTTTTTTTTTTTTTTTTTTTTTATTTTTTTTTTTTAGTTTATTTTTTTTTTTTTTTGTTTTCTTTTTTTTTGCTTTTTTTTTTTTTTTTTTTTTTTTTGGTTTTTGTTTTTTTCTTTTTTTTTGTCTTTTTGCTTTTTTGTTTTTTTTTTTATTGTTTTTTCGTTTTTTTGCTGGCGGTGCGATGGCCTTTTTTTTTTTTCCGCCGGGCCTCGACACATGGCAAAAGGCACTCCCCTGCGAACAGGCATGCTGCACCCTCCCTTCGAACTGCAGCCTTGCAAAGTACAACGCACACAGAAACAAAAAGGAAGGGAGAGAAGGGTCAGCCAAGAGTGCCACGGACGACGCTGGTCCCCCGGGGTTCAGAAGAACCCCGACAGCCAACCTCCCCCGGAGCACCAAGGCGAAGCAGCGCAAAAGAACGCAACACCCCCTCCCCAGCCAGCCCAGTAGGCCACTGGACAACGGGCTTCCAAAGAAAAGGCAAGCAACATGCAGCACAAGAGGACGCTCGCAACGCTGGCTTTGGCGGCACTGGCGGCAGTGGCGGCGGTGGCTGCACATGGCCGGCGCGCCACCCACGCCGCGCCCAGACGACCAGGGCGTCCTCCGAACCCGGCAGCCCAGCCCAGGCTTGGCCCAGGCTAGCCAAAATGGCTTGAGCCAAAATGGCTTGAGCCCTGTTGGTTTCCCTATGGGGAATGCATTGGCCATCTAAGCCTTGCGTTCTGGTTCCCTCAGAGTAGCTACCACGAGCACGACAGATTATAAGGATACCCGTAGGGTGCTCTGAAAGGTACAGAGTGTGACCGCGCTGGTTATGAAACAGGCTGCGAAGAATTGGTGAAGCGCCCTGGCACCCTAAGTCAGGAGGTGGAGGATGGCGGAGCAAACGGCCCTCACGCCTCCTCTCTGCAGGATCTTGCCTGCAACGGGTACTGCGGCGCTGACAGCGCAAGCAAGTCTAGAAACCTTCTGGGCGCCATCTCCAAACATGGTAGTTCGGGCCGTCTCCAACGGCCTCTAGAAGCACAGCAGGAGGAGGAGGGTGAGGAGGGTCATGACCTGCGGCGCTGCCCCTGCGTCCTGAGTCGCTGTAGAAGATGCTTAGGGGCATGCGGACCCAGTGCATCTATGACGAAACCTGCGCCCCCCTGGACCTTAGCAGGGCGAGCTCGCTCCAACTTTCCTTTCTGGGAGGTTTGGGGGAGAGAAACAATGCTTCAGCGATGAACCTAAGAAATTCTAGACGCTTCGCGTATCCCCACCAGCCCGTCCAGAAACGACGCCCAGGCGAGTAGAGGGTCGTCCTGAGGGGCTTTTCGGCGTCTTGGGTGCCTCGGGGGGGCCTCTGTGGGCCGTTCGGGATCCTCTTTGGGGCCTCTTGGGGCCTCTTGGGGCCATCTTGGGGCCTTCGGGGGCCTCCTGGGCGTTTCTTGGGGCCATCTTTGCCCCTTGGGTGCCTCTGGGGGGTCTCTTGGGGCCTCTCGGGGGTCTCTTGGGGGCCTCCTGGTGGCCTCTTGGGGGGGCCTCTTGGGGCCGTCTTGGGGCCATCCTGCGGCCTCTTGGGGCATCCTGGGGGCCTCTTGCCAAAGAAAGCGGAAGCACTAATTAGCGTCGCTCCTGGAAAGCTTCTAACATCGCCTCCTGAACCGCTCTAGGAGGGCTCTTGGAGCGCTCTTGGGCGCTCTTTGCGCCGTCTTCGGGCTTTCTTGGGCCCTTCTTGGAGCTATATTGAGCCATCTTGGAGCTATCTTGACGCCTCGGGTGGGCATCGGAAGCGAAAGCGCGAGAACGCCAAAAACATTGATTTTCCCTAGGGTTTTGAAACATTTTGACTTCTTGGGGGCATCCGAGGGGAGCTCTAGTGGACACTTAGAGCCGTCTTGGGGCGGTCTTGGAGCGTCTTTGAGCATTTGTGTGTTGCCATCTTGAGGCATCTTCGGAACCATCTTGAGGCATCTTGCGCTATCTTGAACCATCTTGGAGGCGATCTTGGGCTCCCTGAGGCCCTCTTGGAGTCGTCCGGGCGCCCCTGAAGGCCCTGCTGGAGTGCTCTTGGGGCAATATTGGAGGACATCGGTCAAGGAAGTGGGGTTCCTTAATTAGAGCCCCCCCCCCCCCCCCCCAGGAACTCCAAACATCGTTTCCTGCACCGCTCTGGGACCGCTCTTGGAGCGCTCTTCGGCGCTCTTGGCGCCGTCATGGGGCTTTATTGGGCCCTTCTTGGAGCTATCTTGAGCCATCTTGGAGCTATTTTGACGCCTCGGATGTGCATCGCAAGCGAAAAGGTGAGAACACCAAAAACATTGATTTTCCCAGGGTTTTGAAGCATGTTGGCCTCTTGGATGCATCCTAATGATGCTCTTGCCGGCACTTGGAACCGTCTTGAAGAGTTCTTGGAACGTCTGGGAACATCATGGGGACCATCTTGAGGCATCGTGCGCTATCTTGAGCCATCTTGGAGGGTATCTTGGGCTCCCTGAGGCCCTCTTGGAGCCGTCTTGGGCCATCTTGGGCGCTCCAACGCGCCGCAGAACCCCCTGTCCAGGTCAGCGGGGAGGGGGTAGGGGGGGGGGTAAACCCTCCCCGAAGGGGAAGAGGGAGGGGTGGAAGAGGAAACTCGTTAAACCACCGACGCCCAGAGGGCTGGTGGGACTTCTTACGGACTGCGCCCTGATATTCCCGCAGATCTACTATGTTTTTGCGGGGCCCTCTGTGCAATTTCGCACCTGGTTTCGCTGCTGTGTCTGCTTCTCCCCCCCCTGGCTTTATACCAGTCGGACGAGGAAGGCTCGCAGTCATCCGGGCTTACATGGGCTTTCGCCGTCGGGATCTCGAAACCTGGCGGGGCCCGCCCAAGTGTGATGAGCTTGGCGCCATAATAAGAAATCTCCCTATGGACGTTTCTCTGGCGAGGCTTGGCCGGCATTCCAGCAACTCCAAAATAATCCGCGAAAGCAATTCTGGCACCTGGAAGCACTGGCGCCACTGCGAGCGCCGCAGCGCGTCCCCCTGCCGGGGAGGTTTGCGGGAGCTCGTTCCTATTTTTTTTTGTTTTTGCCCCCCTTTCTTTTCTTTGTTCCCCCGAACAACCTGCCCGAGAGAACTCCTTCAGGCGACGGTTCTGAGACCCCCCATCCTGCTCGATGATGCTATTTAGCTCCGTCTTTAAAGCAGCTGCCACCAATGAACACCTCACCTGCCTGGACGTTCTGGCAGGCGTCTTCCTGAAAGAGGCCGCGACTCAATACTCAAAACTTTCGATGCCCAATCCAGCCTGGGCGACGAAGGGCGGAGAAGGACACGCCCTGAAGCCAAGCAGGAGGTGATGCTTATAGCCTGGGTGAATTAGGACGTCCCTGGCAGCGTTGCTGGACCACTTCCCCCCTGCTGTTTTAATTCCACTTCGCTCCCAGCACCGGTGATGTAAACTATCCGATTGGGCTTCAAATAAACGGCAAACTGGATCAACATCACAGCCAAGAAGAGGCAGCTTTGAACTAGACCAGGACATATGCGAAATATACGAGCGATTAATATTTCTGTCCTGGGTGCCCAAGGCCTTGTCGCCCAGTATCTTGATAGCTGGGCTCGGGTCCAAGGCCTCCTCCTGTAAAAGGAGCTTGTCTGCTACCAGGGAAAATGTTTGACAACGTCGCTGTTTCTGCAGGAGACATTGGTGGATCATATGCGGGGGCGAGTCGGTTAGATCTTGCACTAAACCATGGGCAGAGACATACTCGAAAGGCTCGTCGAACTCCCACCCAAGTCGTTCCAAGGAAAGGTGGGCTGCACCGAAGGGCCACTAACCGTCGCCCATGTCCGCGGTAAATTGGAGAGCACGGGATTGGCCATACGAGTTAACTCTGGTAGGGAAACTGCCTGCTCGCGCCTTTCCCCTGCCGCTGCTTTCCATGCCACCGTCGCCCCAGATAGCGCTGGACCTAGCGCCTGTCTCCACATGGTGTCGTCCAGAAGTATACAGATACTATTTCTGAGCAGCTTCTAGAAGGAGGCCCGGCCACATTGAGGTATTCGTACTGTGCTGTGATAAGCTCCTTGCGCGTGGCCCTCACTACGTCCGAACCGTGGGAACCACAACTCAGTGGACCAGAGACGAACAGGGAATCCATCTTGACCCCCCTTTTGTCAGACTTCAGCCTCATGCTGCCTGCAAAGATCGCGGATTTGCGCCAGGCCGTGCCGCGCTGCATGGCAGAAGCGATCAGCTCCGACAGGCTCTCGTTGCAGCATGGGCAATGATATTCACTAAAGTTCTCATGCGTCGGTTGGGCTATATACCTGAGAAGGGTCAGGTCGACACCGGGATGCGTCGCACTCCAGGATCGCAGAGTGGCAACGAAAACACCTGAACCAAAGAAGTAGCAAAAGAGCATATATATATATATATATATATATATATATATATATATTTCTTCCCCCCTGTTCCTCTCCTCTCCCAGTCCCAGTCCCAGTCCCAGTCCCTGGCCGCGTCCGCAGCGAAAGGGGCCGCTGCGCCCGGATCTCTCCGGCTGGCCCCCTGGCTGGACTGCCGGCGCCCGCGGTCGCCTTAGGCGGCCCGACGGGCCTGCCGGCCACCGCGCGGTCTTCGCGCCGCCAGACGCCGCCGCCCGCCGCCCGCCCAGCCGAGCCGCCCTGCGCGCCTCGGCCTCCGGAGGCTTCCGGCGGCGCCCGGAAGACTCGGCAGCTCTCGAGGCCCTGGCCCGGCCGGCTCCCCTCCGCGCCCGGGCAAGGCCGCCCGCGAAGGCCGCCAGAGCTGCCCCGGCCCGGCGGCCCCCGGCCGCAGCGCCCGCCGGCCCCTCCCGCCTGCCGCGCGAGCGCCTGCCTGCCCAATCCCAGCCCTGTTGGGTCCCAGCGTCGCGTCCAGCATCGCGCTGAGCAGCGCGAATGCCTGTTGCCACTGCCCCCTCTTCTCGCCCGCGCTGATCCCAGCATTGTAGCTGATGACACTTGGCGCCACCTTCGCCTCCCACATCTCGCTGAGCAGCGAGAGAGCCCGCTGCCACTGCTCGCCGTTCGCGCGCTCGCTGATCCCAGAGTTGTAGTTGGATGGCGTCTGGCTCCAACCTCACTTCCCAAATCTCGCAGAGCAGCGATAGAGCCCGCTGCCACTGCTCGCCTTTCGTGCACGCGCTGATCCCAGAGCTGTCGCCGATGACGCTTGGCTCCACCTTCGCCTCCCGCATCTCGCTGAGCAGTGGGAGAGCCTGCTGCCACTGCTCGCCGTTCGTACACGCGCTGATCCCGGGGCTGATCCCAGAGTTGTAGCTGGTGGCCTCTGGCTCCAACCTCACTTCCCACATCCCGCTGAGCCAGAGAGCCCGCTGCCACAGCTCGCCTTTCGCGCACGCGCTGATCCCAGAGCTATAGCTGATGCCACTCGGCTCCGACCTCACTCCCCGCATCCCGCTGAGCAGTGATAGAGCCCGCTGCCACTGCTCGCCGTTCGCGCGCGCGCTGATCCCAGAGCTATAGCGGATGGCACTTGGCTCCACTTTCGCCTCCCGCATCTCGCTGGGCAGTGATAGAGCCCGCTGCCACTGCTCGCCTCTCGCGCATGCGCTGATCCCAGAGCTGTAGCTGATGACACTTGGCCCCACCTTCGCCTCCCACATCTCGCTGAGCAGCGGGAGAGCCTGCTGCCACTGCTTGCCGTTCGCGCACGCGCTGATCCCAGAGTTGTAGCGGATGGCGTCTGGCTCCAACCTCACTTCCCAAATCTCGCAGAGCAGCGATAGAGCCCGCTGCCACTGCTCGCCTTTCGTGTACGCGCTGGTCCCAGAGCTCTAGCTGATGGCACTTGGCTCCACCTTCGCTTCCCAAATCTCGCAGAGCAGCGATTGAGCCTGCTGCCACTGCTCGCCGTTCGTACACGCGCTGATCCCAGGGCTGATCCCAGAGTTGTAGCCGATGGCATCTGGCTCCAACCTCACTTCCCACATCTCGCAGAGCAGCGATAGAGCCCGCTGCCACTGCTCGCCTTTCGTGTACGCGCTGGTCCCAGAGCTGTAGCTGATGACGCTTGGCTCCACCTTCGCGTCCCACATCCCGCTGAGCAGCGGGAGAGCCTGCTGCCACTGCTCGCCGTTCGCACACGCGCTGATCCCAGGGCTGTATCTGATATCATGCGGCCTCCAACCTCACCCCGCATCCCGCTGAGCAGTGATAGAGCCCGCTGCCACTGCTCGTCTTTCGTGCAGGTGCTGATCCCAGAGCTATAGCTGATGTCACTTGGCTCCACCTTCGCCTCCCGCATCTCGCTGGGCAGCCAGAGAGCCCGCTGCCACTGCTCGCCTCTCGCGCCTGCGCTGCTCCCAAAGCTGTAGCTGATGACACTTGGCCCCACCATCACCTCCCACCTTCCTCCTCTTCCACCACGTCCTGACTCCCTGGCTCGCTGCCCGCCCACTGACGCCGAGCGCGATTATCTTCGCCTCCTCCTCCTCCTCCTCGACCTGGTCCTCCTCTGCCTTCTCCTCCTCTTCTATCTTCTCCTCTGCCGCCTCGCTCTCCTCCCTGGCTCGCTGCCACTGCCGCTGCCCATTTTTCGCACGTGCGCTGGCCCCAGCGATGCAACTGCGCCATAGCCTGCTGCCATTGCTCCCTTGTCTCGCAGGCGCGGCTGGGTCTGGACTCCAGGCGGGGGTGGGGCGGGCGGGGGACGGAGGACGAGGGGGCGAGGGGCACGAGCCGTTCCCGAACGGCGAGGGGCGAACGACGCGGGGGCAGGGGGCGAACGAGACGGGACCGAGACGAGGGGACAGAGGCCGAGGGACAGGCGAGGGGAAGGGGCGGTGGGCGTCGTCGGTGCGCGTCGTCGTGCAGGTGCGCGTCGTTGCTGCTGGTCGTTGCAGGTGGTGCCCGTCGTTGCTGGGGGTCGTATTGCCGGTCGGAATTGGTGCTGGTCGCAGTCGTGGTGGTGCTGCTGCTGGTCGCAGTCGTGTTGGTGGTGCTGCTGCTGGTTGCGGTCGTGGTAGTGCTGCTGCTGGTCGCAGTCGTGGTGCTGCGAGTCGTAGTCGTGGTGGTGTTGGTGGTCGCAGTCGTGGTGGTGCTGGTTGTGCTGGTGGTGCTGGTCTTGGTGGTGGTGCTCCTGCTGCTGGTCGCAGTCGTGGTGGTGCTGCTGCTGGTCGCAGTCGTGGCGTTGCTGGTCGCAGTTTTGGTGCTGCTGGTCGCAGTCGTTCTGGTGCTGCGGGTTGCAGTCGTGATGGTGGTGCTGGTAGTGGTTCTGCGGCTGGTCGCAGTCGTGGCGCTGCTGGTCGCAGTCGTGGTGCTGCTGGTCGCGGTGGTGCTAGTCGTCGTCGTGGTGGTGCTGCTGGTCGCCGTCGTGGTGGTGCTGGTTGTGCTGGTGGTGCTGGTGTTGCTGTTGGTCGTGGTGGTGGAGCTGCTGGTGGCAGTCGTGGTGGTGCTGCTGCTGGTTGTGGTCGTGGCGTTGCTGGTGGCAGTCGCAGCGCTGCTGGTAGCAGTCGTGGTGGTGCTGCTGGTCGCGGTCGAGGTGGTGCTGCTGCTAGTCGCGGTGGTGCTGCTGCTGGTCGCAGTCGTGGTGGTGCTGGTTGTAGTCGTGGTGGTGCTGCTGGTCGCAGTCGTGGTATTGCTGGTTGTGCTGGTGGTGCTGGTCGTGGTGGTGCTGCCGGTCGCTGTCTCGGTGCTGCTGCTCCCGGTTGCGGTCGTGGCGCTGCTGGTCGCAGTCGTGGTGCTGTTGGTCGTGGTCGTGGTGGTGCTGCGGGTCGCGGTCGTGGTGGTGGTACTGCTGGTCGTTGTCGTGGTGGTGCTGCTGCTGGTCGCAGTCGTGGTGCTGCTGGTCGCAGTCGTGGCGCTGTTGGTCACAGTCGTGGGGCTGCTGGTCGCCGTCGTGTTGGTGCTGGTGGTGCTGCTGGTCGTGGTGGTGCTGCTGGTCTCTGTGGTGCTGCTGCTGGTCGCAGTCGTGGTGGTGCTGGTCGTAGTGGTGGTGGTGCTGCTGGTCGCAGTCGTGGTAGTGGTAGTGCTGGTTGTGCTGGTGATGCTGGTCGTGGCGGTGCTGCTGGTCGCAGTCTCGGTGCTGCTGCTCCCGGTTGCAGTCGTGGTGCTGCTGGTCGCTGTCGTGGTGCTGCTGGTCGTGGTCGTGGTCGTGGTGGTGCTGCGGGTCGCAGTCGTGGTGGTGGTGCTGCTGGTCGCAGTCGTGGTGGTGCTGCTGCTGGTCGCAGTCGTGGTGCTGCTGGTCGCAGTCGTGGCGCTGCTGGTCGCAGTCGTGGGCTGCTGGTCGCCGTCGTGGTGGTGCTGGTGGTGCTGGTCGTGGTGGTGGTGCTGCTGGTCGTTGTGGTGCTGCTGCTGGTTGCAGTCGTGGTGGTGCTGGTCGTAGTCGTGGTGGTGCTGCTGGTCGCAGTCGTGGTGGTGCTGCTTGTGCTAGTGGTGCTGGTGGTGCTGCTGGTCGTGGTGGTGGTGGTGCTGCTGGTCGTAGTCGTGGTGGTGCTGCTGGTCGCAGTCGTCGTGCTGCTGGTCGCAGTCGTGGTGCTCCTGGTCGTGGTCGTGGTGGTGCTGCGGGTCGCTGTCGTGGTGGTGGTGCTGCTGGTCGCAGTCGTGGTGGTGCTGCTGCTGGTCGCAGTCGTGGTGCTGCTGGTCGCAGTCGTGGCGCTGCTGGTCGCAGTCGTGGGGCTGCTGGTCGCCGTCGTGGTGGTGCTGGTGGTGCTACTGGTCGTGGTGGTGGTGCTGCTGGTCGTTGTGGTGCTGCTGCTGGTTGCAGTCGTGGTGGTGCTGGTCGTAGTCGTGGTGGTGCTGCTGGTCGCAATCGTGGTGGTGCTGCTTGTGCTAGTGGTGCTGGTGGTGCTGCTGGTCGTGGTGGTCGTGGTGCTGCTGGTCGTGGTCGTGGTCGTGGTGGTGCTGCGGGTCGCAGTCGTGGTGGTGGTGCTGCTGGTCGCAGTCGTGGTGGTGCTGCTTCTGGTCGCGTGGTGCTGCTGGTCGCAGTCGTGGTGCTGCTGGTCGCAGTCGTGGGGCTGCTGGTCGCCGTCGTGGTGGTGCTGGTGGTGCTGCTGGTCGTGGTGGTGGTGCTGCTGGTCGTTGTGGTGCTGCTGCTGGTTGCAGTCGTGGCGGTGCTGGTCGTAGTCGTGGTGGTGCTGCTGGTCGCAGTCGTGGTGGTGCTGCTTGTGCTAGTGGTGCTGGTGGTGCTGCTGGTCGTGGTGGTGGTGGTGGTGGTGCTGCTGCTGGTCGTAGTCGTGGTGGTGCTGCTGCTGGTCGCAGTCGTCGCGCTGCTGGTCGCAGTCGTGGTGCTCCTGGTCGTTGTCGTTGTGGTGCTGCGGGTCGCTGTAGTGGTGGTGGTGCTGGTGGTGGTTCTGCTGCGGGTCGCAGTCGAGGCGGTGGTGCTGCTCGTCGCCATTGTGGTGGTGGTGGTGGTACTGCTGGTCTCCTCGTGGTGCTGGCCTTGGTCGCTGCCTTGTGCTGCGCGCTGGTGTTCTTGCGCGTGGTGCTGGTCGCGGTCGTAGGCGTTGTTGCCGCTGCGGTGTTCCTCGTCGCGCTGGTGTTGCTGCGCGTGGTGTTGGTGGTCACGGTGGTCGCCCTGCTGGTGCGAGGTGCTTTCTGCTGCTTCTCCTGCTGCGGCCGCCCGTCTGCGCGCGGCTCTTGTGCGAGGGCTGGCCCTTTTCGCCTACTCGCGCCAGGTAGAAGCGGTGGCCTCCGTTTCTGGGAGCTGCGGGACTGCCGGTGTGAGCAGGGGTGGCAGGAGGGAGCAGTAGCATTGCATAGTTGGTGAGTCGGTCGGGCCCCTGTGCTTGCCTGCCGTGTAAAGCAATCCAGAATGTAGCACAGCAGCTACCCCGGTCGATTTCGCACCAGTTCTTGTCATGCGTGCATTGGCGGTAGCTGCAGTAGTGGTGGTGCTGGTCGTTGTCGTGGTGGTACTGGTCGTAGTGGTGGTGGTGCTGCTGGTCGCAGTCGTGGTAGTGCTGGTTGTGCTGGTGGTGCTGGTCGTGGTGGTGCTGCTGGTCGCTGTCTCGGTGCTGCTGCTCCCGGTTGCAGTCGTGGTGTTGCTGGTCGCTGTCGTGGTGCTGCTGGTCGTGGTCGTGGTCGTGGTGGTGCTACGGGTCGCAGTCGTGGTGGTGGTGCTGCTGGTCGCAGTCGTGGTGGTGCTGCTGCTGGTCGCAGTCGTGGTGCTGCTGGTCGCAGTCGTGGCGCTGCTGGTCGCAGTCGTGGGGCTGCTGGTCGCCGTCGTGGTGGTGCTGGTGGTGCTACTGGTCGTGGTGGTGGTGCTGCTGGTCGTTGTGGTGCTGCTGCTGGTTGCAGTCGTGGTGGTGCTGGTCGTAGTCGTGGTGGTGCTGCTGGTCGCAGTCGTGGTGGTGCTGCTTGTGCTGGTGGTGCTGGTGGTGCTGCTGGTCGTGGTGGTGGTGGTGCTGCTGGTCGTAGTCGTGGTGGTGCTGCTGCTGGTCGCAGTCGTGGTGCTGCTGGTCGCAGTCGTGGTGCTCCTGGTCGTGGTCGTGGTGGTGCTGCGGGTCGCTCTCGTGGTGGTGGTGTTGGTGGTGGTTCTGCTGCGGGTCGCAGTCGAAGCGGTGGTGCTGCTGGTCGCCGTTGTGGTGCTGGTGGTGGTACTGCTGGTCTCCTCGTGGTGCCCGCTGCCGTGTCGGGGGTGCTCCCGGCGCTCGTCGGAGCCCCCCGGGGCGGCCGTGCTGGCCGCGGTGCCAAGCATCAGGGGCGTGCTGGCAGGCTGCTAGCGGGTGGGCCGGCGGAGTCTGCGAGCAGCATTTCGGCCAGGTCTGGGTCGTCCTCCCCAGCGGCTCCCCCCAAGGCTGGGTAGCCGTCGCCCGTCAGGGTGGCCATGAGCGCGTCCTGGGCCGCGACGCTCAGGAACCCCCACCAGCGGTTGGTGTACGCGAGCTCCGCGGAGCGGCGGAGGAGGGCCGGTGCGGCCCGCGCCTTCTGCTTGGCAAGCAGGCGTACCAGCTGGAGGGAGTCGCGGCCCCACCTGCCTCCGACCTCGCAGGAGAGGACCATGAGGCGGCCTGAATGGCCGGTCGTGAGTTCGTGGTACCTGCGTCGTTTGCGCCTTTCGGCCACAAGTAGCGCGGCGCCGTCGATGTCGAAGGTGCGCGGCCGGTGCCAGCCGTCCCTGCGGAGGGGGGACACCATGGTGCTGTCGCAGCACAGCGGGGCGCCGTTCGGCGAGATGCCGTAGACGACTAGGTCTTATTGTTTGCGGTCCAGCGGGCTGTGGACAACGGCGTTCCCTCCTGCTTCTCTGGCGACCCTCGCCCAAGCTCGTTCGAGCGGTTTCGCGCGTCTGGCGAGAATCCCAGTGCGTGGGCCCGCGGCTAGGTGGTCTCCCAGCGTGTCCAGCCGGGCTCGGCAGCCTGGGCGGCCGGCTGCCCCGCACGTGTGCGGGAGGGGCGGCAGCGGGAGCCTGAGGCGCCGGCGCAAGGCTGCCAGGAACCGCGCGGGCTTGAACTCGCGCCCCTCGGTGGTGGGCAAGGCGTGAAGCCAGTAGGCGGCCCTCGGTCCTGAGCCTGACCTTAGCATGGCCTGGTTGGCCCTGGTGAGGCTGGGCATGAACACGTTGTCCCTGTAGTGGGTGTTGCGTGCGGAACAAGCGTGGAACTGCCAGCCGTGCTGCCATTCCCCCGGTTCGGCAGCCTCCGAGCGCGGTGGCGCTTCTGGGCGCAGCCCCTGGAGCAGGTCGGTCCAGGAAGGTCTCCGGAAGCCTTCGGTTTCGAGCAGCTGCGCGGCCGCGGCGGCTGCGGCAAGGTTGCCCCTGCGGCCGGGCCTGGTGCCGTCGAGGAGGTCCTTGATCGCTGCAGCTTCAACGGGGCGCCGTTGGTGGAGCATGTGTAGGGCGTCTGCCCAAGCGCCCCAGTAGGCCGGTGGGGACGTGCGCGCGGCGCCTTGGAGCCCGAGTCCTCCGTGTCGTCCAGGCATTGCTGCCAGTGCCCGCGCCCGTCGCTCTTCGTCTTGCGACGTTGCGGGGTCCCCCAGGAGGCGGCGCAGGGTGGCCCACATGTCGCCGTCGTGGCCTCTCGCGTATTATGCGATTTCCTCTGGCGGCAGAGTTCGCAGCAGGTGGTTGGCCCGCGGGGAGGCGCAGAGGAGGAGGAGGAGGAGGAGCCAAGCGCATTGTAGGTCGGGCAGGTGCGCCAGTTCGTCCAGGAGTCTCCTCTCTTCCTGTAGTCGGTTCTCCAGGTGTGCGGCGACGAATTCTGGGGTGCCTAGGGGGGGGCCTAGGATCTTGATTCCTCGGTCGGGTGGCGCTCTGTCGCCCCTCCAGACGTCTTGTCCCAGCTCGCCGATTCCTGGCGGCGCTGCGCCTCCGCCCCTGCTGTAAGCCCAGCACTTGCCAAGGTGGCAATCCACGTTTGCGTGGAGGTGAATTGCTCCGGTGGTGGTGTCGAAAGCGGCTCTGGCCCTGGCCCGGGTGGTCTTGATGTACACGTCGTCCAAGAAAGCGACCAGGAAGTCCCCTTGCTCGAGGGTCCTGGAGGCGCCCGCCAGCGCTCCGTGCAGGGCAAGAGCGAAGAGGGCTGGGGCCAGCGCGTCCCCCTGCTCCACTCCCTCTCCCTGGTGCACGTCGTGCACAGTCCCCATTTCGTCTTGCCAGAGATCGGTGGAGTCTTGCCCGTACCACATCTTCACAAAGGGGATTGAGCCGGCCAGCTCTGGGCGAGCAAGGAGCTCCTGGAAGAAGGCCGACCTCGACACATGGTCGAAAGCCCCGACTCCATCGATGCTGACAATCACTGCGTCGTCGTCGTGGTCCAGCACTGACCTCAGCAGCATGGCGGCGCAGTCGGTTCCTGCCCGCGTCGTCAGGGCGAACTGGAAGGGCGCAGTTGCGGACGCGAACTGCTCGGCGAACTGTTGAGCGAGCGCCCTGGTGACCAGTCGGCGGAAAACGTCGCCGGCGGCGATGCCCCGTACTCCGTTGTCTGAATTCTGGAGCGCCGTCATCTTGCAGAGGGCTAGAGCGCGGGCAATCGGGGAGGGCACCCGCGCCTCCGCGAGGGCAGCGGCGGCGAATCCAAGCAGGTCCATGGACTCTTCGTGTTCCAGCAGCGGCTTGAGGTGCTCAACGCGGACCCCCGACGGTCCTGCTGCCGTGCCCTTTTTGGCGGACCGGAGGCAAGCGAGGAATTTGGTCTTGTCGAGTCTCGCTCTGTCGGTTGCGCGGTCTAGGTTGGCGGGTAGTCGGCGGCTCAGGGTAGGCGGTCGGCGGGCCGGGTCCCGCAGCCTGTTTAGTGTCTCCCCGTTGCCGGGCGCAATCGCCGCCGCGGTCAAGACCTGTCTCCCCCGTGACGGGTTGCCGTTTCGGACGTGCGCGCAAGCCTGTTCTCTGCGTCTCTCCTGCTGTTGCTCCTCTGTGGCTGGCCTTGGCGCTGCGCGCGCGCCAGTCGTGGTGTTGGCCTCGTGTAGCAGGGCCAGCCAGTCGCCCTGGCGGAACCGTTGGGCGCGTTCCAAGAGCTCTTGTCGGCCCTCGGCGTCGGCGCCCTTGGGCTTGCTTAGCAGGGGCCTCGAGGCGAGGAGGAACAGTGTCCATCCTTGGTGGGTTGTTGCTTGGTTGTCCTGGTCGTGTCCTCGTTTGTTCCCCTTCAGGGCCGCGGTGAACGCCATCCGGGTCTCCGCGCGCAGGAAACGCGGCACGTTCTGTAGTGTCGGCACGAATCTCCGCAGCTCTTGTTGGAGGTCTATGCTCCCGAGAGCTGCCCAGGACTCTTCGGTGGGTCCGTTGCTCGGGCCTGGGGCCTGCGCTGGTTCAGCCTCGTGGTCGGTCTCCTCGGTGCTGGAGTTGCTCTCGCTGGAGTTGCTGTCGCCGTCGTTGGCGTCTCCCTCCTCCGCGCCCGTGTTTCCGCTGTCGCTGCCGCTGCTCGGGCTTCCTCCTCCCCCTCCTCCGCCGCCCGGGCCTCTTCTGGCGCCTCTTCCTCCTCTGCTTTCTCTGGCGCCTCTTCCGCTTCTGTCTCTGGGAGCGCCTCTGCCCGCAACGGCGGCAGGGCCTTTCGCGTGCTGGTCTCCAGGCAGCTCCGGCCCCTGGGGCGCCTCTGGCGGTGGGAGCGGCGGCGGGGGCGCCGCGTCTGCCCAGAGAGCTGGGTTGCGCAGCTCGTTTGTGCGTGCGTCAACTCCTCGCGCAAGCGCGCCGCCGCCGAATGCTTCGAGGAGGAGGTCTTGCACCAGCGGCTGTATGTAGCCGGCGCTGCTGTGCGCCACGGCCCGGACGACTGGCGCAAAGGATACGTGCCCTGGGCGCTCTCCTCCGTCTGCAGCAAGCACCGCTGGTACTTCTCCGGGCCGGGCGTCGGTGCACGCCAGCATTTGGGCAAAGGGCCTTGTTAGCACCGGTCCTGCAAGCCGCAGCGTCTCTACCGTCGGCTGCCACCAGGCCTGTGTGAGGCGGTGCTCACTCCACTGCGCCCCTTCGCTTGGGTCTAAAAGCCCGGCGGCCGCAAGCAGCAGGGGCGCGTGCACTGCCGAGTTGGTGCGTGCCTGGAGGGGCGCTTGCGGTGGGGCCCAGCCGGCGAAAGGGCTGTGTTGTGGCGGCCTCGCGGCGGCTCGCTCTGGCCCTGGTGGGGGGGCTGGTGGCGGTGGCTCTGGCCCTGGCGGGGCTGGTGGTGGGGCAGGAGGCACTTCTCTGGTCCATGCGCCTGGTCCGCACAAAGCGCACCTCCATTCGCCTTCGGCCGTGCTGGCTTCCGCGGCCCACATGCCCGGCTCTAGGCACCTCGCGCACATCTGATGGCCGCCCTGTGGCGCGATCGTGTCGACAGCGCAGCGCGCCCCGTAGCGTAGGCAAAGCCATGACTCTAGCCACTGCGTGATCCTCCCGTTGGTGTTCTCGTGCAGCGATCTCCGGGGACCATTCCACGCGGCGGTCTGGCACTTCGGAGAAGTCGGGCGGGGGGCCGAGACGTCGGCAGCAGAGCGCTCGGAGCAGCGGTGGCTCCCGTGGTGGTGGTTCTTCGCCTCGCGCGTAGCTCCGAAACCCATTGTAATCTGGGACGGCCTGGGCGCTGGTGTCGTGGGCCCGGGGCGGCGGTCGGTCTAGCCCTACGCGGCGCACCATGCCCGTAACTCGGCAGTGGTCGGAAGTCGGGCTCGGCGCTGCGGGCACGTGGTGGCTTCGCCGAGGTGGCGGGCCAAGTCGGCTCGGCAGCCCAAGTGGAAGTGGGCGCCACAGCATGCCTCCTGTGCTGGTGTGTCCCTGCCCGCCCCATGGTGTGGGGTCACTTCCTGGCAGACGACGCAGATGTTGGCATCTTCCGCCGGCGCTGGTGGTCGGTCCGGCTCTTCCCGCGCTGTTGCTGCCGCTTCTGCTGCCTCGCCCTGCCTGTCGCCGCGCGGGGCGAATAGGCCCGCAAAGTTCCATCCGCCTTCTGGCGCCCTCCCGAAGACGGCGCCAAAGTGGCCCGGCACGGCTTGCGCGCCAAGCTGAAACCCTGCGGCTTGTAGCCGGAGCAGAGCCCGTGGCGGGGTCTCTTCCTGCGACGGGATTGGCGCCGCGCCGCCGGGTGCGTGCTCTGGCGACTCTGCTGGTGACGTCGTGTGTCTCGGGCGCGGTGTTCGGGGGCTGTCCCGGGGTGCGTCTGGAGGTCCTGGGTGGCTGGCCTCGCCCACTCGAACGCCTCGGTAACCCCATCGCGCGTCGCGGCGGCTTTTGGAGGGGTTGCGCTGGTGCTGCTGCTCGTGGTGGTGCAGGTCGTGGTGGTCTTGGTCGCTGCCTTGTGCTGTGCGCTGGTGTTCTTGCGCGTGGTGCTGGTCGCGGTCGTGGGCGTTGTTGCCGCTGCGGTGTTCCTCGTCGCGCTGGTGTTGCTGCGCGTGGTGTTGGTGGTCACGGTGGTCGCCCTGCTGGTGCGAGGTGCTTTCTGCTGCTTCTCCTGCTGCGGCCGCCCGTCTGCGCGCGGCTCTGGTGCGAGGGCTGGCCCTCTTCGCCTTCGCGCGCCAGGTAGAAGCGGTGGCCTCCGTTTCTGGGAGCTGCGGGACTGCCGGTGTGAGCAGGGGTGGCGGGAGGGAGCAGTAGCATTGCATAGTTGGTGAGTCGGTCGGGCCCCTGCGCTTGCCTGTCGTGTAAAACAATCCGGACTGTAGCACAGCAGCTAGCCCGGTCAATTTCGCAACAGTTTTTGCCATGCGTGCATTGGCAGTAGCTGCAGTTCTGCGTTGCCCTTGTCGGCCCAGCGCGGGCAGGACGTGGTGATAGCATCGTGGGCTGCCACTGGACGGCAGTGGCATCCGCGTGTTGGCGACGCTCTGCGGTCCCCTTGCTGGCGTCGGCTCGGCAGCGTTCCTCTTCCGCTGGCGGGCGCGCTGGCGCGCGCCCGGCTGCGGGGTCGGGCTGTCTGTCTCCAGCGCCCCCACCCCGGCCTGCCTCATGGCGGCCGTGGCGCCCTCGTTTGTGTAGTCCGGTCTCGTGTTGGGTCCGAGGAGCGCGTGCAGGAGCTTTTGGATGCAGCCTCGCGTGCTTGCTGTGGGTGAGTCGTGGTCGGTGTTGTGAACTTGGTAGTCGGGCTGCGTGGTGGTTCGCTCTTCGGTCTTTGCGATGCCCCGCGTCGCGTGCCGCCTCAGGTAGAACCGGTCCTCGAGGTAGGTCTGTCGCCTGGAGAAAGCTTCCTGCTGCGGCATGGTCTCGGCATGTTCGTGGTAGGCGTGTGCCTCTCTGTTCGCTCGCTCCCTCTTCCCGGCGCGGCGTCTGGAACGACGGTGGTTCCTCGTGGCGCACCGAGTGGGCGAAGGCGAATGCCCAGGGTTAAAGGAGTCTTAGCGTCTGAAAGTCGACCGGTGGGTCTGCGAGTCCAGGTCGGCTGTCCGCGTCTTCAGTCGGCGGGGCAGGCGTGAGGCCGTGCTCGCCTTGAGCCGGGTGGCGGAAGGGGTTCAAGCGGAGGGGGTCGGGGGCTAGTCGTGTCGTTGAGTGCTCGGTCGTTGTCTTGGTCGTGGTTGTCTTTGTCAGCTCGCGGCCTGGAAGGGCCCC